ATAACGATAATATTAAATTAAGGGGGCGGTGGTTAATTTTATGACAAGTTAAGGAGGCTGGTTGGGAGTAGGGGGCGATCATAAGATAATTGGATGCTACTATGGAGATGACTGTTGAACTGGTTTTGATTMATGATTTAATTTCTAGAAAAGTTTTATTTGCTAATTTTGTATCTCTGTATGTGAATTCCCATTATAAAGGTACTTTACAGTGGAAGAAATCTGAAATCCAGGGACTACTTCCCAGATATGAGCATTCATCATTTATACCAACATCATGTCCAGATAGAGTGGTGGTGTTTGGTGGAGCGTCTAAGACAGACAACCTAAATGATRTCCAGGAWTTAGATACAGGTATAGCCTGAAACATATCAAAAGTCCATGTGATCAATCTATAAAATGCTGTTTTGGTTGTTTGTAATGCAGTTAATAATGTATGGTCAAGTGTTAAAGTCAATGGCACTCCACCATCAAGTCGAACATGCCATTCWATGGCCTCGGTYGGCAACAGTTTATATGTGTTTGGYGGTGGTTATAAAGGAGCAGAACCTGTACAAGACCAAGGGATGTATGTCTTTAATGCAGGTTAGTATTTTATAACAATTTTCTCAGGAAAAAATTAGTCCTGTTGACCATAATAACACCTTGCTGCTTTAGAGACCAAGACATGGAGCCAGTTGGAAGTGAAGGGTGATAAGCCATCAGCTCGACATGGTCATCTCATGGTTGCCATAGGAACAGATATCTTTTTGCATGGTGGAATGGCTGGAATTAATATCTACAATGATTTATATAAATTCTGCACAAGTATGCTAATAATGATAAAAACTATTAATAATTATTGATAATTTAACAATGTATTGTTCCTTGTGACAAGAATGTCCAATCTCATTTGCATTTGTTTTGTTGTTGTTGATGAATTGTAATAATGAAAATCATTATGATATTATTTTTGTAGATGATCATACTTGGTATAGCCTGAAACCCTCGGGTGATATACCAGACGGACGCRCAGCCCATGCTGGGACTGTCGTCAATAATGACTTATATGTATTTGGTGGGATGAGTGGCATAGGCACTGCTCTAGATGACTTCTACAAGCTCAATATAGGTAATTATACTAGCGAGGTATTCATATGTTTTAATAATGRTGATGATGATCAGCAATGATGATGATGATAGTGATGATGTGGGTGATAGATTCAGTGAAATTAATCTTGAGTATTATGGTTGTGTCCAGTTGATGATGAAGAATTATGATTAAAATGGTAAATATGTTGGGCACGATGATGATAGTGACTATTGATGCTGTTTTTAGTATATGCTTTTGTTTGATTGTTTCAGAAATTTTACAWTGGAGTAAAATAAAGCTAGACACTTTACCACCTGATCCGCGCCTTGACCATGCTATGTGCACACTGACTATTGCACAGCCATTAGGTAACTTTAGAAATATCTAGTCTACTTCTTCACTTTGATTCTTCCTGGGTTTCCTGTGTTTAGAATGGGGAGAATGGGGCGAGAAGTTTAACTCTTTCTCAGCTCCCACTCTGTCATAAAAGTCAAAAGGAAGCCCAAGGATGAATGTAAGAGGAAATGATTGCCAGTTAATATCTAACTTTTTTGTTGAACTGAATGATTAATGATTTATCCTGGTTTCATGATTTTTTAAAGACATTTTTTRATGATTTAAACTAGCTATATATATATTTTTTGTAAATTTTCAGATGAAAAAGCAAGYGCAGATTCAAATGAAAAGAAGAAAGTGTCTCAGATAATATTTCTGTTTGGTGGAATGGACACAAGTGGAGTAATACTTAATGACTGTTTCGTTTTCCTCCCTTCTGCTGAATAGCTTTACTTTTTATATTTTTGTAAAATATGTCATTATTTGGAAATTTCTTCATTGTAAGATAGGTTTATAGAATTTTCATTGAATAAAGATTATTGTTGGATAGCTTGCATTCTTTATTTTATTCTTTTTCTTTATACTTATGTTTGTATTCATATAGAGTGGAAGAATCCGAAAGAATGATTACTTTAAAAAATGAAAAATGAAATGAAATATCCCACTTTTCCCTTCCCGTGGGGTTCCTGTGGAAGATCCATCTGCCCCAGGCCCTCTCCAGTCAAGAAAAGAAAGATGGCGGACGAAGAGGAGGAAAACGTGCTCGATTCATTCTTAGTTTTCTTGTGGAWAGCGGAATAATATTATGGATRATACMCYAGATATAACGTTCCAAAGACTTCGTCCAACATGTGTAAAGCTTTCAAAACAGCCAAGTCGWGAATGCATTCAAGAACTACGCGAGTCTCTTGAACATGTGGAAWCAGACCATCTTGTCAAACTTACAGAATACGTCTTCTTCCCGCTTCAACTCACACTTCAGAGAACTGGATTGTCTAACGAACTGAAACAAGATGCCGTTATCTGTATAGAAGCTGTGATAYGCAAAGCAAAAGTACATAAGTTGAATGTTTTTACTGATATATTTAACGCATTGACAGTCTTACTCAGTGGCAAAGAGCCTGGCAAAGTGGCGGAAGTTTCAGAGGAACTAAAGCTGGCTATACTTTCCTGTTTAGATTGCCTGTTAGATAGTTCGGGCCTTGTGATTCGTAGCGTTTTGTACAGACCGAAATTACTCCCATCTCTGGGACATGCTATTTCTCTGTTTCTGGATATCATACGACATGAAAAAGCAAGAGAACTTAAARTAGCTGCTTTAAAGTGYTTAAAAATCATTTCCTTTTGTGATAACAGTGGAAGAGAAAACACCAAGTTAGTGGAAAATACATTTCAGTGTAATGAWCTTGAGGAGKATGAAAGGAATGMTATGTACAGGRATATTCGCGACAGTGCATCCATTGCAATGTCGTCATTTCTACCAGGAATCTCATTGGCTTTAGYAAATGTAKTTAACAGTGACCCAACRCAAGGYCATGCAATAGTTTCATTAGCTATAGATATTTGGGGTTCTATAGTTGCCATGGTGATGAGTGACAGCTGTATGCCATTGAGTAGTGGTAATAATGTTGATGATGACATCACTGCGACAATTTCACTGCTAGCRAAGCTGCAGACTAACRCTAATGATGACACTCAATCAGAACATGATAACGCTAGTAATAATGATACTAAACAAGATGTATCAGCAAAGTCTAGAGATTTGGTAGTTAACAGAACAGATGAGTGGTTCAAAAGTACTGGATTGAAATTAAAAGTTTTGGTTGAAAGACTCACATCTACAGTATCTTGCCACTCAAAATGGAAAGTACGTCTTTCATTGGTGCATTTCTGTGAGTCTGTTGTTGTGAATTGTTCTGAGTCCATGTCATGCTGCATCTCTATGCTTGTTGATGTTCTTGTTGGTGCTCTTGAGGATGAATACAGTCARGTGTCTCTCAAAAGTAAAGAAGTTTTGGATACCTTAGGAAAACAACAAGATAAAAAAGGTAAAGGTTTCACTCTCAGTTGCTATAGAAACGAATGGCAGACAATTTATATTTCAATATTGTTCCATACTAACTAACTTATTTTCTTGCAGCAATATGAAAAATTTCAGTTTTCTTTATTTTCAAGCTTTATTCTAAGTACTATATTAAAGGGCTACTTGGACGAAAATTGCGAAATATTAGAAAAGACTTGGAAATCAAATAGACCTATCCATATGGGTGTAATAATTATGAAGCAACAGATTTCAAGAAAATATTCATGCAAATCCTTAATAATTTGGGCAAAAAATGTTGGAGTAGATGACGTTATCTACTCAATCCCTTTGTTCTTCCATCTTTTGAATCAAAATTTCTCTGATGTGGGATAATTCCAAGACAAATATTTTCACGCAATTGTTTTTAATAGATATAGATGAGTCATATATTTGTATTGCTTGAAGTTTTGAAATAAGGCCATTTTCATGCAAGTAGAACTTTAATCTTTATTGCGATTATATTGATGTCAACTCATGGTAGTAGGAATTTCTATTGATAGTAATAACTTTAACCATGGCAAATGCTAATATTTCAGGATCAAGGACGTCATTCAATGCAACACTGGAAGAAAATCTTTATTCCAAACTAACAACTCTTCCAAGATTGATGAGAACAGCAGATGACATCAATAAACTGAGAGCATTAAACCTTTTAAATGGATACATGACTCTTTTGAATGACAAAATTRGCATTATTCTTTCATCTTCATCACAGTTAAAAAGACTTTCCTTGGCCTTAACACAGGTATTTTGATGTACTATAGACATTCTAGAGAGGATTTCATATGAGTGGGACACCGTTACCGCACCGTTACTGCACAGTTACCGGACCTGGCCTTCACATTTTTGGTGAACCAATCGGGCACTAGAATTTGGTTACAGTTCGATTACGGTCACAGTACAGTACCGTCCATTTCCCACTCATACGAAATCCGCTCTATAATATAGTTATAGCTGTACATGTATTCATTATATGGTCAATATTGTATGTTCTTTTTTATTCCAGATTTTAGAGCTTGATGTATCAGATGTTGGTATTGTTGAAGAACGAACACCKGAGAAACATGAATCAGCTGTTATCCCATCAGACACACAAGGACAAAATCCAATGTCAGTGGATACTGATAACATACAAGCCAGCCAATACCCAAAATATCACTTCAAACATTTCACTGGTGACAAGATTCAAGAAGCTGTCAATCACACCTGTCAACTACTAGGTTATCATGGTGATTTGTCACTGTTAGTGGATCACTTTCTGGATTTGTTTCACGAGTCAAATGTCCATCGAAAACAAGYTGTGTATGTCTTGAATGAAATCGTTGTGGGATTTTCCATTAAGTGTCAGGATGCTAGCAGAAGTTCCGACTCAGGTATGTAAGAAAGACAGTACTGTATATAGCAATACAGGTCCGGGTTGTTCAAAGGCTGATAAGTGTTAATCCATGGTTAACTCCATGTTTTTTTKGAGTTAACCCAGAATTAGCATTAATCAAGCTTTGAATAAACCAGTAGTGAGAAGTCTTTTTATAGCTGTTGACCYAATCATTTTAAATTATCAGAACTGATGCCTGCTGTCAAAATTTTACTACCTGCATATACCTCACAAACGTCTTGGAATCTACAAACCTCAACCTCCCGGGGTTGTTCCTCAACTGGCAACAACATGGTCAACTCCAAACCCAACATATCCTATCAAAAGCTGAACAGCAATGTTCTACTCACTTGCCTTTTATTAGAAGGAATTGGTATCTTTGCTCRTTCACTTCAGCACAGTTTCAACCCTCTTCTTATTGATACATTGTACCTAGTATTGGCAAAGTTAGGGGATGGTAATGCAGCAATCAGTCGGTCAGCTTATGGTACTTTAGTAATGATAAGCAAGAACTGTGGCTTTTCATCAGTGGAGGATCTAATCACATCCAATGCTGATTACTTAGTTAACTCCATTGCATTAGATCTGAAGTATGTGTTTGTTAATGAGCAGGCTCCGCGTGTTTTGAGAGTTATGATCCAGTATAGCAACCAAGATATTCTCGCCATTGTTGAGGATACTATTGAGGATGTGTTTAGTGTGATGGATTTGTATCCAGATCARCTGATCTATGCATTGATGAAAGTTCTACATGCCTTGGTGTACTCAATGTATCAGTGGTTTGTAGATAAACAAAAGCCAGATAAGGTTAGAAAATATTATGTTCAGTAATATATAAAGTGGGAGACCTTTATAGGCATAAAAAGCCCATAAAGGTTGGACGTGAATATTTTATATTGCTTATTATTCCAGCATAAGATTAAGCATTGCTAAAAACTTCAAGATAAAATATTATTTTTAAGAGAAAATCCAAGTTAAAGTTATATGCAAATCAGGACAAATCTCTTGCTCAGATAAAGATGCGGTCACTGCAATGATTTTCTATTGTGTTTGCCTTATGAATTATTAATGAATTTGATAATGTATTGCACTTGAAATATTGATACTCTATATTGAACCATGTTTTTTACCTTAAGGGAAAGCAAGGTGAACAGCAATTCAAAGGAAAAGAGGAATTTTCCCAAGAGATAAGCAGCTTTATTTTGAATTATATAAAGAGTAAACGGATTGCACTTGGCGAGGTAAAGTCTGAGGATTTGAATGATGTGGAGAGTGAAGAAGTTGATGATGAAGACTTCTACAAACCAGATGAGAAGCCAGAAATCCCTTTGCATGTCAAATATGCAACTCAGGTCAGTTTCACAAGGATCTGTCTGTGCCATGATCATTTCTACAGTCATAGTAGTAAGCTCTTCATAGTAAACTAGTAAAATAGTAAACTTGAGGCCCTCTATATGAAATCCAGTCTTACTACTGAATATAATGTGCATTACACATCATTTTGAAGGTCCTTGAAAAGTGCATCYATTTCCTTTCAAGTAATTCATCTGTTGTGCGTATCTTGGTTCTGGACACTGTATACTATGGTGTTCTTGCCCTTAAAGAACACGAAAACGACCTGCTTCCTATGATACACAGATTGTGGCCACCRATAGTCAATAGATTGGCTGATAAAGACCAGGTATTTGTGATATCATTTCTATAACTACCTGGAATCATATAATTTGTTGAAATCCTAGTCTCCTCTTGGAGCATTAAAAGGCTTTTTCTGTGAGAGACGTGGAAGCAAACCTCAACGGCTGTGAGAGAAGATTATTGAAATCCTGATCATCTTTACTAGTAATGTTAATATWTTCTACTTTTCATAAAGGTTGTAATCATCAAAGCGATTAATGTCATTGCTACAATGGCAGAATGCTCTGGTGACTTTATGAAGAGACGTGTTCTCAAAGACGTTTTACCAAGACTTCTAAATCTACTTGAAAARCAAGCRGAAGTGAGCCGAAAAGCTGGCACCATTTATTCACAATCCCAGGCATTCAAGCTTCAGCTGGCTGCACTTGAGGGCTTGGGAAGACTTTGCAAGCAGTTGGCGGTCAGAGAAGAGCATCTTTACAATGTGKCRTGCAAAAGTTGTGTGTATTTAAGCAGCCGTCAACCAACTGGCCTTCAGGAGGTAAAAAGATTAAATAGGGAAAGTTTACGTGAAAAAAAAAGATATAATATATTTTCAATATTTTTTGAAAAGGAAGGTTACATTCCAACATTGTGCCTGATATGATAATATAATGAGGCATTAGGTAAATTGTTCTTTTTTGCTGTTTTAGCCATCAGATTTTTTGGGGGGTCCTACTGTGTTGGTGTTTGGGATCCCTGTTTCATATATGAACACAGGAAGCCCAATTACAAGATGTTTCAGTTTCAATGACATCATCTTTTTCTATGGTTTAGGCTGCTGTTGGTGCATTTGAGAAATTCATCATTGTAGATCCTGATTTAGTGTGGCTTGTTCTCAACAACCTACAATGTCCAGTTGTACCCAAACCTCCCCAGAATTTATTTGTGGAGGTTAAATTAGCAGGGACTGGGCCTGATAGTAAAGAGTATGCTAGCAATGTGTCACTTTTGCTTGGTCAAATCAATATGAAACTACACTAACTACAATGACTCATTATGTATCTGGAATTATTATTTTATAATAAAATATTTTAGTGAGCAATATACATGTACCTATTTTATATTTGTGTTATAAATAAGCTCTAGGGTGTTTACAAATCTACTAGGGGTGTTTTGTGTATTTGGTAGACGTTGAAACATCCAAATGACCGGAGTGATCATTGCGATCATTCAGCATGAGCCTAGAACCTACATGTAGGCGGCATTTGTTAGCAGTCCTGTCATGATATATCAGGCTGGTATATTTGTCTCTTTATCATAATTCACATTGATGGCAGAGAATAGACCAGCACTGCATGGCAGCAGCAAAACTACAAGATGTAGTGTGCCTTCTTCATTATAATTCAAGCTGTCTGTCGTGTTCTTTTGCTTTTTCTCGTATCCCAACAGACCATAAGAGATCTTCATTCCACAGCTACAAAAATTAATAATTACAACAAATTAAAGAACTGTAAGGAATGTATATGTGAATTAATAAATGAATGGAAGGATAGAAGAATGAATAGGAAATGGATGGGCAAATGAATAAATAAATGAGGGAATGTTTGGATGTGCCAATAAAAGGAAATACATTATTGTACCTCTGAATCATCAGGCTGCAAGTGTACTGCTTTGGAAAAGCTTTTCACTGCCTGAAACAAAGGATATCACTGACTCAAATTTGTATAAAATATATACACCTACTTGCGAACGTTTCTGCAAGTAGGTGTATTAAAAAAATAATAATAAAGAAAATAACTAGAGGTAAAATAAACACAATTGTTACAAATAATTCAAACAGAAATACTTAACAAATTTCTTTATTTGGTAGGCTCCCGATGTTTACAAAGGCGTTTTATGGTGATTTTAAATTCTATATTAGACACATTCATTTTTTATTTATTTTTCAGACAGTGCTATCCACCCAATAGGAGATGCTAAGCGATGGGAAACAAAAAATATATATGAAGATGGCCTAAGCCCCTAAGCAAATAGGTCATACAAATAAAGCAAAGTTAAACTAAACTATTGACTAAAGCACCACACCACGTTTTGACCCAGTCAAGGCCTGTGCTTATCATAGAGTCATTTCCATCCGTCTGTGAAATAGGAATTGCACTATTAAATACTATTACCCCCTGTTAGCTTCCAAAAGTTTAACATGTGACAAAGTTTGCCTTTTGGTAGCTTACTACATCCTAATATTTACTAATAAACACTGACTAGTCATAAATTGTTTCAAAGACGCATGAAAATGACTCTAATCGTATCATAACGTGTCATTTCACAGCATATAAGCCTGCATCAGTACTTAGCAGGTTCTCTTGCATTAATGCAAACCAACCCCCCCTCTCCATCTCTCCCCTCCCCCCCCCACTTGATAATTCAGACAAAGCAAATAAGCTTTAAAAAATGGAGCAGGCACTAAATAAAATCCTGAAATGATTTGCATTGGACCTGCGTTTTGTTTGGATGGCCCCTGAAGAATGATATATATGGGGGACCCGTGAAGAATTTGATGGCTATGACTAGAATATAACCTCATTCGTACTAATTTTCGAGAGCACTGGAATCTCTCGAATTTTGAACACAAATATTTCGCGAGCATTAATTCGCGATTTTAAAATTTCGCGAAAGTTGAAAATAGGTGGACAGACAGACCTTAAAAATCCTTTTCAGTATTGAATGACTACTTAAACAATAATCGATTTGCAAACATAACGTGTATTAAATCGCGCGTTTAATTTTAAATCGCGAAATTAATAAAGCCTCGCGAAAATTAGTACGAATAAGGTAGATAGTCTAAATTGTCACGCAAACAATGAGACGAAGGATATGCCTGTTCACGTTCGGTAAAAAATGTCTGGTATGATTGCTTATTTAAATTCTTTGAGTCAACACTTTTTCGTATGCAACGAACTTAAAAAAAATTACGAAAAAACCCGGTTTATATCTTCGTATCTCCTTAAAGCCATTCTTTTCGTACAGGGCCATGGCAGCATACTGACCAGTTGACGTTATAAGAGTTAGATTTGTGTAGTTGTTGTCGTTGCAGAAGTTTTCAATGGCCTTTAATAATTTCGATGCTATTCCTCGCTTACGTAACGATGCGTTTACAGACATTCGAAGAATCTCCGCTTGGCCTGGCTTGTGTTGGTTATCATCATGCAAAATAGCAGCCAWACCAACAACAGCTCCATCAAGGACGGCTACAAACATACACGAACCATCTTGATAAACTTTAGCAATGTCTTGTAAATCGTCAGATATGGAGTGATCAATGTATCTCACCATTCCATTATAAATACGAACGTAAAGCAAAGCAGCTATGATTGCACATAAGCATAGAAGCACGATAACATTGAGCAATGACCACGTAAATGTTAAAGCAAGAACAGGGACCAAGAAGAGTGCACACTTTAGGTATCCCYTGATTTCGATCGCATACMCATACGGGATTAMYTCCATCATACCTGTGCGAAATAGTCTATGACACTCGTATTTGTCATTTGGCTCAAAGGGACGCACTTCTACTTCCAACTTATCCATTTCAATCAAAAAATGTACTTGAATGTACACATTCAAATCGATTGCAAAGGTCAGGAAACGTTTTGTGGCAAGGTGCCTTGTCTGGCAAGGTAGCCTCCCTCGCAGTAGGCTGCTATAAACAGGCGTCCCTTCTGGGGGGCCGAGAGAGAATGGGGAGCATTAATCGCGAGCATTCAATTAATTTTCGCAGTTTTATTTTTAACTCGGAGATTGCGTAAGCAATCGAAGAGTTATTGGAGGGGGACGATGTGTGTCACTCACACACTTTCCTGTAAACTCGGTTGCCTTAGCAACTGCTATATTTTGACTTGTTAATTAGTTGAACTTTATCTTCACTGTCTATCTGTTTCTTTTTCTTTTTCTTTTTGAACCGAAAGAAATTCATGTACCCGACGTAGCTCGAACCCCCGACCTTCCGCGCCAACGGCAGAGACATTGTGCAAATTGAAAGAAGGTTTTAACCTTTTTCCGCTTCAAGTGTGTGTCAAAAGTTAGAAAGAGTCAGGGAAAACGTACTTGAAGCTTAAAACGTACTTGAAGGCTTCGATCTCGAGTAAATTGTTGTTGATGAACTTCGGCCGAACTTCAACAGAACCTTAAGCTTTACATAGAAAATAAGATTTCAAGGAAATGGTTGTGAATATCCGCATTGGACCTTMAGGTCAGCTATCAAAGTGGAGAAATTTACTATAAAACCGCCTTGCATATTGAGAACGAATAACTTATAAGTAAGCAAATAAGTGCTCCGATGTAGAAGAATACCGGGCGATCGGCGATAAATTTCGATGTCTCTCTCCTCTCTGAACTATTATTAAATAAGCTTATGTTGCTAAACAGTGATCGGAAGAAAAGCACAGAAAGAAAAGAAAAGCATAATTCTGCAAAACTGCAAATCAAGAGCATGTGGATTTCACAGATTTCATACTTCAACAACGGAGCTCAAAACAATGTTATGAAAACTTTTACCAATAACCTTGTTCTTTCAATACATGAAGGCATTAGCTACTCGAGTTTTGCACTAACTTTATCTTGTTAGTTAATACTAATTATTAAATGTTAAATTGCATTTTTCCAAATACTGTTCTGATCTTATTGTTCTGATTTTTTTTTGATAATCTATTACATGTTTTTTTTAATAAATAACCTATCTAATTTGTTAATAACATGCTCAAAATACATCTGACCATCTTGAAAAAGCAGCTCTCGCAATCTCCGAGTTGTGTTGCCATTGGCAGCTTGATTCAATTTTATAGGTAGATAGACAGACCTTAAAAATCATTTTCAGTATTGAATGACTACATAAACAATAATCGATTTGCAATCAAGATTTTTACATAAAGAAGTTAAATGATTAAAGCAATTATAGCCTTATATTAAATTTTGCGCGTTTAATTTTCGCGGATCCTTTTTTCACGAGGTTTTAATTGTATTGCGCGATTTTTTGTTAAGGTTGATCACAACTAATGAAATGCAAATTTTGAACTTTTTTAACTCGCTCGCTTCGCAAAAGTATTTAGTAAAACGTGCTCAAATTTTGATAAAACATGCAGTGATTATTGCAGTTTTTGACAGTTTTCAGTATTTAGTAATTTATTGGCTGGTTTTAAATATACAGCGTGAAGATGTTGGTTGACTGGGTTAAGATTTTATAGACAAAGAGAATAACAAGAAGTTTCTTAATGCAGATATTTCGGACGACATCCATCGTCCATCATCAGTGTATTAACCTGACTATAAAGTTAACAAATTTAAATAAATTATAATATTCAATTCTCTAGAGATTGTATGTTATCGTTCAGTTCAATAATTTCAAAGGAACTGATTGTCCTTGCTCATTAAGATCAGGATTATGTTCTTTTATAAGGACAGCTTCAGCGATTTTTCGTTTTTGTTCCCAAGCATAGTGTTCGGCTAATATTTGGAAGTTACTTTCGTTGACATGTTCATGATGTGTTGTTTCGCTGTGTTTGTAGATTGTTGATTTCTTATCTCTGGTTCCGTGATCCTGGACGCGTTCTTCAATTCGTCTGGCGGTCTCGCCGATGTATGTGGCTGAGCATTGATCATCAGGGCACGTGGCTTTGTATATGACGTTATGCTTGTGTTGAAGCCGTGGTTTATCTTTGGTCGGGAACTTAGAGCCCAGCTTTTTAGCATTATACACACAGTTGATGTTGACATTTTCTGATACGTATTTCGGTACCATATGTTTGAGTCGTTTGATCAGGTTTGTACCAATTTGGCCTACAAAAGGTAGTGAGATGTATAAGGTCTTCTGCGTCTCTGTGTTATCTGGAAGTTGCAGTGGATCACGAGTTGTTTGTTGATTTTGTACTTGTTTGATGGTTTTCTTGATAACTTTGTTAGGGAAACCATTAATTTCTTTGAAGGTTGTTTTTAGGTGTTCGAGTTCTTTGTCCAATAGTTGTTGTTCAGAGCAGACTGTAAAGGCTCTATTAACCAGACCTTTAAGAGTGGCTCGTTTCCATGAATTGGGAGCTGGTGAGTCCCAGTGTATGTACAGGTCCGTGTTTGTTGTCTTCCGATGGACGGTGGTTTCGAATTTATTATCTTGGTCTTTCCATGTAATCATCGTGTCAAGAAACGTGATACTGTTGTTGTTGGCAAGCTCGTAGGTGAATTTTATTTTGGGTTCAAATTTATTTAGCTGATTACGAGTCTGGGTTGCTTCCTCTTTCTTCACATACGCAAGTGTGTCGTCTACATAGCGTTTCCACCCTGATAAAGTTCCAGTCAGTTTCGGGATAGTCTCACGTTCCAACTGTACCATGAAGATGTTGGCTAATACAGGTCCGAGGGGGGATCCCATTGCGACTCCGTCATTTTGGATGTAGATTTCGTCATTAAATGAAAACGGGACTTGTTTTGTGCATAGGGTGAGCAGTTGTTGAAGTTCTAAACTGGACAAGTTGGTATGGATCTCTTT